GACCCCCCGTGGGGCTCAGCAATGAAATGCAGCCACAGAAACAGCAACGAAACGCTATTTCCCCGGGCTCTGATGCGCAGCTGTAATTCCCACCCTGGCTTGCCCCAGAGCTGAAGCGAACGGCACCAGGAAATACCCCTTAAATCAGAAACGCTTCCCTCCGGCTGTAACCCAGGCATCCAGCTCTACCACCCTCCTCATGCAGCCGTGTTTAGTCCTGGGGGCGATGAGGAAGGAGTGGGCAGCCCTTCGCCCGACAGCTGCTGTTTGCATCAGGGACCAAACCCTCGCCAAGGTGGGAGAGGGGCGATTACGCAGACAGATTGCAGGCCAGGATGAGCTGAAAAACACTCTCCCTGTTTAAATTCTGGGTGAATTTTAACTATCTATGTATTTTCCTGCTTGGACACCTGGCTGTACAGATCCTTTCATACAGAGTTCCAAGTGCTGATGTGTTGGCTCAGATACTGCACTCCCTTGGTACCTTCCAATAAACTGGGCTGCAAAAGTTGTGCTTTGCATACCGGGAAACAGAAACAAACCCCACATCCTCCTAGGGGATGTGGATCTGGCCCCGGGGTGTGTTATTTCACAATTGCAGAGGGGCTACCGCAAACCTGCTGCGGGTAGAGGAGTTGGGGGAGAGGGTCTTTCACCCGGACGCTCAGCCAGTTTGATGCACAAAAAAATACCTTTTTCCCCAGTGATAAAAACAGGCTGTGTGCTCAGAAAATCTGGAATTATGGCAAGCCCCGGCTCAGCTAACTAACTCGCTGCTGTCCCAGGGGTCTACTTCAATTGGCCTGGAGAGTTGATGAGGCAAAGGGCATGTGCCAGATGGGGGAAGAGGTTTTGCTGAGGCCCTGACCTGAGTTCCCTTTTCTCACCATCTCTCCGGTTTCCATGCAAGTCACATCCTTGTTCCCTGACTCAGTTTCCCTACCCGTGATGGCGGGGATTTCCTTCCCCTGGGTCGGTGCCTGGCAATGCCAGGGTTTCTCGCAAAGCGGCGCAGAGCACTACGCACCTGCAATCTCTGCCAGAAGAGAACTGCTAAAATGACTGTTCAGCATGACCTATTTAATTACAGATTCTCTCCAGGCAAATGACATAACCGTCCTCTTGTTCTACCCTTCCGTTATACCCCACTCGCATTTTTTTTTTCCCTTACCCTGCTGCTTGCCTTATTTTCTGTCTATGTAAAGGTGAACCAGACACCTTGTGCGATGGTTTTAGAGCAAGACTGCACACAGTGCACACGGGGAAACTGATGGAGCATCCCCATAGGCAGGGAGCACCTGGGCACTGACAAGAAAACCTGCATAGTCACCCCTGCCCTTGGCTGCAGCCTGTAGCGGAGGAGCACCAGAAGGTTCCTCTCACAGCGCTGCATCTCACATGCTTTGGTAAGCCAGAAGCGGAGGATGCCTTGCGCTGGCTGAATTTTCTCCTTGCTCAGGTAAGTCGTGGTGGAAACAATAAGATACAGAATGGCATTTTGTAACCAAGACACCAAAAAACTAATAGTCAGCCAGGAACAAAGTGGTTCCTGTTCTCCCTCAAGTTTTCCCGTTTTGTTCAGGGGGGCACAGGGATGCTGAGATACCCAGCACCACGCACAAACTCAACCCCTGTCTGCCCCACTCATCCCAGTCCCCCCCAGCGCAGGGCATCCTGCAGCCGGGACCAATATGGTGAGAATTGTCAATATTTGCCCACTTTGGGTTCTCCAAAGGAGGGGCCCTGATGAGCGGGTACACGGTGGCTATAAAAGGTGCAGTCAGCAGCACCTCAGGATCACCCAGACCCCAGAGCTGCCACTGCCAGCCATGAAGCTCTTCTTGCTGCTCCTCTGCCGTGAGTACCCCCTTTTGGGGAGGGTGAAAATGCTTGGGTTTGCTACGGAGGGGTGGGATGGGAGGTTGCTTTTCCCAGTGCTCCTAACCCCCTGTCTCCAGTGGCAGGGCTGGCTCCCACCGACTGCAGCTTGGTTCAGTTCAGTTCAATGATTAAGCAGAAGACTGGGAAATCGCCACTGTCCTACAATGGTTATGGCTGCTACTGCGGCTTGAGTGGATCCAAACAGCCGGTGGATGCGACTGACTGGTAAGTTGTGACCTGGTGAAGGCCGGGTGGGTGCCCCCAGCCCTCCTCGCCTCCCTCTCCCTGGGTACGGTGAGAGGAATGCTAGCCTCTGTTTCTGGGAGCTGAGATCGCAAGGCAAAAATCTTTGCTCATCCTTAACACCTCTTTAAATGTCCCTTAGTAGCAGTAGCTGATGGGAAGGGTGCGCATCGGTGTTTCTTCTGCCTTTGCAGTGTTAGGCAGAAATACATCAGGATCCAAGTACCACCTAAGTTAAGCTAACTGAAAGCAGCCATTTGGTGTTCTGCAAAGCCGGCAGCAGAGAAAGCAATTAAAGAGCTGTGCTGAAGATGCCAGAAAGTCCCCCTCCCTCGCCCCCGCAGCATGGGCGATGCCGAGGAGAACAGGGCCGCTGCACAACTGTTGCGCCTAACACGGGCACGGATGCAAGCCGTGTCTCAGGGGGACTGCGCACCACCAGACGCTCCCCACCGCGGTACCATCCCCACCCTGCCCTGACCGCAGCTCTTGTGCTCCCAGGTGCTGCCATGCCCACGACTGCTGCTACAAGAAGCTGGCTTCCTCTAGCTGCAGCCCCAAGCTGGTCACGTACAAATACTCCATCCAGAGCAGCCGGATAACCTGCGGTAAGAGAGGGCGCGGGGTCAAAGCCTTGAGGGAGAAGGCACAACCATCCTCGCTTTTCAGGGACTTCTCTTCCGAGATGTCCTTTAGACCATCCTGGCTTGGAAACCACTTGCTGGGAAGGGGGTGGAAATGAGGGAAAAGTGCCAGGAATAGGGCAAACATTTCTTTGCTAGGACTACAGTGAAGTTTAGTGCTTGGGGACCTCCCAAAGGAGGGGACTTGCCCTCCTGTAGAGGCCAAATATTGAGGGCTCGAGGTGACCCTTCCGTCTTGGATGGGGACCTGGCACTGCTGCCCCGATTTCCCCAGAGCAAACGCTGCTGTTTCTGGGTGAGTGGATCAAAACTAAGCACTCCCTATGATGAAAGCAAACATCTATACATATGCAGGTATACCCAGTAAACTGAATGGTCCCTCCAGGGCCATGCGTGGTTCCTAGCCAGAGGTAAGAGGAGGACTACCTGAAGCACCTCAGACTGAACGCGGGGGGCTGCGTACGCCGCGGGGATGGTCCAGCAGACATCCCCTGACTCTCACCCCCTTCGCCTGACTCCATCCCCCCCAAATTTCCTTCCAGAATCCGGGACTTCATGCCAAAAGCAGACCTGCGAATGCGACAAGCGGGCGGCAGAGTGCTTCCAGCGGGCGGCCAAGACCTACAACAACTCCTACAAGAATTACCTCAACAGTCTGTGCAAGGGCTCAACTCCCTCCTGCTAGCCTGGTCGGGCTCAAAACCTGATGGAAACCACCTAAATCGTGGCGGTTTTGCTGTCCCTGCCGCCAGGCGGGGCACGGCCCGGCCCTGCTGCACCAAAAAGACATCCGGCACCTTTCCCCTGAGCCAGTGCACAGGGAAAGCCCGCTCCCCGCAATCAAATAAATCATAAAAACAAGGGAATCCCTCCAACTAAAAATAAATTTTCAAAGGCAACTACTAAAGCACGCCCAGTGTTTGTGTTTCGGGAATCGATGGTGGAAGGGGTGGTAAACTGCATGGCGCTTCACGGCTGATTTTCTGAGGTAAATATTTATGCATACACACAGTTTTGCATCTTTTTCTTAAAAAAACATTTCCCAGAAGTGACATTTTAGCAGCCAAACAGTAAATCTTAAGACCTTTGGAGAAAAAAAATGACCAACAGTGAGGGACTACTGCACCCCAACCCAGGCTCCAAACCCTGCTCCCCTCAGGGAGCTTGGCCACAACACAATCCCGACGCGCTCCTAACGATGATTTAAGCAATTAATACTCACCAAAGCCATGGGGGAGTGTGGCGGTGGTGGTCTCAGGGGTTTGGGGTGGCTCTTTCTTGCACCCCATCTCCACAGGTCCTGGTGGGGCTGGAAGCAGCCGGGCAGGCCCCTGCTGCAGGCCGCAGCCCCCGTCCCTCACCACAGCTGCAATCAGCCCTAACGAGCCAGGGCCGGCTGCCCCTCACACCCAGCCCTCCACGGAAGCACCTGCGGTGTAACGCCTTCTCCGGAGACGTGTCTGCACACCTGCAGAGTGGGGGTCCTACAATAAAAGAGTTTTAAAAGGGGATTTTCTTTGAGTTTCACAGAATCCCAGCACGGTGGGGGTTGGCAGGGCCCTCTGTGGGTCACCCAGCCCAACCCCCTGCCCAAGCAGGGTCACCCACAGCAGGCTGCCCAGCACCGCGGCCAGGTGGGGCCGGAATATCTCCAGAGAAGGAGACTCCACAGCCTCCCTGGGCAGCCTGGGCCAGTGCTCCGTCACCCTCAGAGGGAAGAAGTTCTTCCTCATCTTCAGCTGGAGCTTCCTCTGCTTCAGTTTGTGCCCGTTGCCCCTTGTCCTGTCGCTGGGCACCACTGGAAAGAGTCTGGCCCCGTCCTCCTGACCCCCACCCTGCAGATATTTAGAGGCATTTCTAAGGTCCCCTCTCAGCCTTCTCTTCTCCAGGCTGAACAAGCCCAGCTCCCTCAGCCTCTCCTCGTAGGAGAGATGCTCCAGTCCCCTCCTCATCCTCGTAGCCCTCCACTGGGCTCTCTCCAGTAGCTCCTCATCTTTCTTGAACTGCGGAGCCCAGAACTGGACACAGCACTGCAGATGGGGCCTCACTAGGGCAGAGTAGAGGGGGAGGAGAACCTCCCTCAACCTGCTGGCCACACTCCTCTTGATGCACCCCAGGACACCACTGGCCTTCCTGGCAACCAGGGCACGCTGCTGGCTCATGGTCAACCTGTCCTCCACCAGCACACCCAGGTCCCTCACTTCAGTGTCAAGCACTCCTGCCAGACTCCATCAAGCATTTCATCAGGAGCAATGTCCCTACCCCTTCCTCATGCTTCCGACAGCAAATGGGGTATCTTTGGAACTCCAAAAGACTCGTTTCTCCTCTTCTGTTCTGATGCCACCGAAGGGCTTTGGGACGAGAGCAGAGAGGTGGGACAGCGTCAATGAAGCCGATGCTGCCCTCTGAGGTTTGTGCCCGCAAACTGGCTCCGTACAGCTAGACGCGGGCGCAAACCTTCTCCAATTCATACAACACCGGAATGCAAACATGAAGAATGACCTAATTTCCCCCACTTTCAGCAAAGTTTCCAAAGCTCGTGGAAGCCGGCAGGTGAATGTACGCCCCACAGCCAGATCGCATCCCCAGGAAGGGTTCAGCTTGTGCAGACTCGTTAAATTAATCCGGAATTTTTGCCTTTTAACCCACAGCGTGCCCCGTACACACAACTCCGCTCACACAGTTCAGCTGGCACATCTCTGCAACCTTTATTGCACTCAGCATCCGAAAACCAGAGGAATTTTGGTTTGGTAACAGAAATGGGTGCCCTGCCAAGTGCCTGGAGGGGGAAAGGAGAAGAAAACTCTCCTGTAGTTTCAACAGACTCCAACAAAAAGGAATCTGAGACCACTGCAGGTGTGGATACCACAGATGTCGCGACTTCTGCTGCTGTTCAGGCACTGCAGATGAGGCAAAGCTCAGTGAACCGAAAGGCAGCCCTCCAAGAAAAGCGAGGTACACCAGAATCCGAGTAGCACAATCAGAAAAGTCCTCCTGCACATTGTAAGGCCAAGGCGTGCTTACGGGCTAAATGCTTAAAACTTCCAGTTGAACTGCACTCCTTACCTGAAAGGGCAGGATTTGAAAAAAATAAGTCTGGGGAAGGTGATGGTGGTAGACAGGATGCAGGGAAAGCAGCTTTCTACACTGTTGTGTCGCATGCTCGCCCTGAAGAGGCCGACTGTGACCCTGTGGGTCCCACAGCAGCCAAAGCACGCTCCCGGCCCTCTGCCCACTCATGACCCTCCCAGACATAAGCTAGCAGCTAGTAACAAACAGTAATCCTCCGCAAATACCAAGGGAACATGCCGTGCTTCTTGTCCTATGACCGCATGTTATGAAGCACAGTTAGCTCCACCAAAGAGTAAACATGAGCTATGAATCACGACGCTTCTCTTCTCCTGTTTCTCGCCTCCCTTCCTCCTGCAAGGGAAATCCAGGACCTGTTTACCAAGCAAATTCGCTGCATAAAAGTGAGTTCCCTGAGAAACGCTGCATAAGGACTCCCTAGGAAAAAATACACAGAGTAACAGGCAGGTGGAAATGTCAACAGCTAAAGGGAAAACCTAAACCAGACAAAGTGAAAGTTTCAACACCTTTGGATACAAAATGGTTTTGCAGGTACAAAACTATCCTTGCAAAAACAAAGAGCATTGACTGGTCTAACAAGACTCAGGAGCCCGGCACATTAACAGTCTGTTTTAACCACATTACTCTTGGAAGCATGTTCAGCCACATATTTGGTGACAGGTATCAGAGGCCATGAGCTGAAGCTCAGCCTCTCCCCCTCCTACTGAAGATGCGCTGGGGCTGCAGGCCTGCTCGTTGATGCTGGAGAGGGATGAGGTTAGGTTTCCCAGGTCCATTTGTGCCTACAGGAACAGCTCAGCTGGATACAGGACAACCCCCTCCACAGCTCTCCAGGCCTGAAGCAACAATAATCCTCTTATCAGCTCTTCTCAGGAAGACAAAAGAGCAATTCGTTAAGATCAAACATTTTCCTGGTAGTGTACAACCGCAAATTCTTGTTATCTTTTCAACCTTGCAGAACCTACCCACCTTTCAAATCAAAACACGTCTGGGCAAGACAAAGGTGACACATTTACCTGAATCGCCTTGCTACGCCCGCTGCCTTGGACTCCTCACACTGGTGAAGTGACCTGCACTTTCTCCCAATTAAGCTGTGACTTCCCATTCTTTCCACTACTGCAGAAGTGACTCTTTTGAGGAAAAAGAATTCCAGGAAGTAACACTGCTAACAACAGGCTACGTAAAGACTGGCATAAAATGGATTTTGCCAAATCTTTAAGAACAGTACTGTGAATCCAAGGCTCATCCATGCAATTCCTACCTATGAAACACTACTCAGACTTTCCTCTACAGCGGTTACTCAGGCCTACCACTGCGAGCAGCACTTCATACACTGCTTCGCTTGCCAGACACTATGTCCCACCGTAAAGCATAAGAGCTGCTTTGTATTGCTTTTGATTTCCACCAAGCTCGTTACAGGAACCAAGGGAACTTCTTCACAGCATTAAAGCCTGCTCTCCCACACCACCAGTACTTCAAGCAGAGCTCCTCTCTTTTTATTCTTCAAATGATCTTGATAAACAGTAGCAGAGCATATGCAGAAGTACCAGCTCAGAACTTGGCAGTTATATTTCTGTGCTGGTTTGGAAACTTCACAGAATGTATACAATTTATTCAAAAGCAATGTTCCTCACTTCCAAAAACTTTATTTCGCCTCTGCCCTGGCTGATGAGGTGTCTCCTGTTATCTATTGTGTGTGTAAGTGCATATGTGCTTTCTTCAAGTTTGGTGGTTGATACAAGTCCAAAGACCTGAGTGAAGCTGAAATACTGCAAGGCATAAATCGAGGGCCAAGTCCCACAGTCCTTATACGTCAGTTCAAACTCCCAGTCCTGCAGAGGAAAGCATCACAGACTTCCAGCTGTACGTTCTACAGTACTCGGTGACCTTACCGAAGAGGAATTTAAGATGAAAAAATCCTACCCTGGAAAAAGCTTGATTTATGAAGAGTGAAGCAGGCAGGGTTCCCAGTGATCACTGCTGCCTGGAAGCTTGCTCCCAGGACTCTTGATCTTTTGGCTATGCTAATTTCATTTGGAGACTAACAACTATTGAGTTCCTGGCTTGGACTAAAGCTCTGGAGAAGCCCAAAAGCTCCCGAGTATGGCAAAGGAGATGAGATTCCAGATGTCCAAGTAACAACGCTCAACAGAAACCTCATGCCTGCTCATGTCGCATTTTACTATCTCATTAGACTTCCCCAGACTGGATGAATCTGCTCTGCGGTCTCAGGAGTCCACTGGTATTACTATTTTTTTTTCCTCAAAAGGTCTCCAAAGGTAGTAAACAGGCTCGTCTCAAACTTCAGAGTGGAGCGAGCGTGGACGCAGTGATCCCATTCTCCCTTCACATATTAATAACTTCTGAAACAGCCCAGTGCAACACAACCAGTTCTAGTTGGATTAAAACTGATCATTGCATTCTTGCATGGGAAAGAAAAGAGGAATCTCCTGTTTGATACAGTGTTGGCTGACACACTTAGCTTTGGAAAGGATTCTGGGATTCCGTTCCCTTACTTTTTAAATTTAAATAGAAAAAAAAATGACCCTGAGTTGAGAACTGTTAAGCCTTCCCAGACAGCAAGGTAAAACAAAGGTCCTCCAAGCAAAACCAAGTAAAACGTTGCTATAAAAAGAGCTAATCCAAGCACATCAAGAGATGTCAAAGCAAATCTGACACTGCTGTGTGAAAAAAAGGTTCTCACCTTCATCTAACTCCAAAATTATAAAAACAAGTCTCTACTTTTTGTTACGTTCAAACAACTCTTCTCACACACAGGCTGATGCAGAATTACCGAGTAACTGTTCGCCCCACAGCCGAAGCAGCAGGAAGTTCATGTGTGCTTAGAGATCTCCGCAGAAACAGATTTTAAGACAACAATGGGTGCTTGGAGATTTGCTTAAGGGGAAATTTGTCTCAGTCACTTTTATTTGCTTTTCTCTCCAGAGCACTCAGAACACATTCAGTCATATGTTTAGAGCTGCCATGGCCTTCACCAAGGTGACGTGGTTGTTTGAGTCCGTCTCTCTCCTGCTGCTATCTGCACAGTTATTCTTGTTGGCCAGGACCTTTTGTCGGTGCCTTTCCTCCTGCCGCTTCTTCTTCTCTAGCCGCTGCTGTTCCTTCTTTTGCTTTTTAGATACCTGAAAACGAAGGATCAAAACACAAAGCTGGAAACACATGTTCTCTGCACAGCTGAGGAACAAAGAATACACTGGAAAAGGGACAGGCAGATATCAAAGCAGCTACCAGAGAACGTTTATTCCAAACTACTTACCAGGACTTTATTTTGTGTCATTTTGGGAAGAGTGCCACATGTCACTAATAAATGTTTGTATCAGAGAAGTCACAGCTTTAGCAGCAACAAAATCTGGTAAGCGGAAGCTCTTTTTAATTTGAAGGAGAAGATAGTTCCTGACTAAGCAAACCTAAGCATTCCGCTAGTTGTTAAAGGGCGTGCAAATCACTGTCAAACCACCCTTCACATACCTTTGGGTTTCTGCTAGCTCGATTCTCTTCATCGGATCCAGCCTGTCCTTTCTTGTTTTCTGTTTCACCTTGCAAGCTCCGATTTCCAAAGATTGCTGAACCACTTCCGTTTTCTTCCCATAGAATTCTACTACACGATTTCTGTTCTTTGCTGTGGGGATCACGCTGCTCCTCAGCACCTACCAACAACAAAGTGCTTTCTCAGACACACTCTACACGAGTCCTGCGTTCAGTTCTGAGGCCGTGGACCTGTTGGAGCAGGGCCAGAGCAGAGCCACAAAGATCCTCAGATGGCTGGAACAGCTCCGCTGTGAGGACAGCGTGAGACTTGGGGCTGTGCAGCCTGGAGAAGAAAAGGCTGCGGGGAGACCTTAGAGCAGCCTTCCAGTATTTAAAGGGGGCTTACAAGAAAGCTGGAGAGGGACTTTCAACAAGGGCACGTAGGGATAGGACAAGTGGTAATCGCTTTAAACTGAAAGAGGGGAGATTTAGAATCATGATGAGGGTAGTGAGGCCCTGGCACAGGGTGCCCAGAGAAGCTGTGGCTGCCCCCTCCCTGGAAAGGTTCAAGGCCAGGCTGGACAGGGCTTTGAGCAACCTGGGCTGGTGGAAGGTGTCCCTGCTCATGGCAGGGGGTTGGAACAAGATGGTCTTTAAGGTCCCTTCCAACCCAAACCATGCTGTGATTCTACATCCAGAAGCTGTCTCACAGTCAGCCGATTCCTTCTTCCAGAATTCCTGGAACAGTGGGTTTTTGGAAGCTGCGCTGAATCTGCCCCCACTAATAACGTTCCTGAGCACAGAAAGGCTGAGGCAGCAGCACAGCAAACAGCAAGCTTCGATTGCTATCGTCCCTGTTGAACTGCTGTTTACAGTGAACACTAACGTCAGACAGTGTTCTTCTGAAGCACCAGGTGACAGCCTCTGTGTACTTACCGATTCTCTCCACTTCATTCACTTGGAAGACAGAAAATATCGCAGATTCTATATTGTAGTCTTCCACTTCCAGAATACGGCTTACTAAGTCGATGTCCTGCCCGCAAGAGGAGAAAGGTAACACTGAAGAGAGTTCAAATCACTGACATACATTCATTTAACAACCACCCGCACCACTGAGAGGGGGTTGCTGGCTGCTTTTATGACTTTTCGATTAGCCTGTGTTCCATTTCTGAAAAAGGTGAGAGAGGAAATCTTAAAATCCTGCAGGTATCAGGAAAAATGAATATGCTGTTTCAGCAACTGTGTCACTCCTGCCCCCTTCTGTTCTATGCATTTGCACAGTGCAAGCAGCAATCTGCAGGAACCCCACAGGCTAAGATTTAGAGAATCGAGTTATTCCGAATGTTTAACTATAGACATCCTCCAAGAATTTCAGGTTTTATAGAATTTGTTCCAAAGTAAATTTTCTGAGAGATTGCAAGACAAACCTTCCAAAATTATTAGGTGTCCACACAGAGTACATGTTTCATCTGCATTTAAGGGCTGAGTCTAGGATGAAATGTATCCTTATTTGTGGCTGTGATACTGAAATTATCCTAGATGAGTATTTTTTCAGAGTTTTTCCCAAGGCTACTTTCATGTGTTAGGAAGGTCTGACATTAAGCACAAACTGGCTACTCAATACTTACTGAACATCCAGTTGCATTACACACTTTTTGTACAGCATCTTCCATTTCGACTTCAATTTCACCTTCAGAGTCACCCTTCTGTCGCTTCACTTCCTCATCCTTATTCGAATCATTTTTGCAAAGCATCTGCAAGAGAAGCAAAGCCCAGCAGATCACACAGCCATGCAGCCGTTTCATCATAGACAGTAAAAAAAATCTGACATCATAATAAATTTACTTATTATGGCACATTTTTCTCAGAAATATCCTGTGTCAAAGCATCTTGGAAACTGTAACTTCCATCATCACCGACACCGCTTCCCACAACTCCTACACTGCTGAGCAAGCTCTCACATACTACAAGATCACACATACCAATAAACAATCACTGGAGTTTTAAATGAAGTATTAATGTTATTACATTACCACACATTACACACTTGTGTGCAGAGAATCTCAAGCACAGCACAGCTTACTCCTTAACATGAAAAAGTGAGGTATGAGGAGGACAATTGCATCCAGCTGTTGCATTTCCAGCTCTTTCCTCCCTTCCCTTTGTTTTTGCATTCATGGCGCATGAGTATGTAATTTAGAAGAGGCTGCTTCAAGTTGCTTCAAGACATACACAGCCCACATCACAGCATCAGATTTGGGATTGATTTTCAGCCCAGTAATTTAAATACCTCACAGCCTGTCTCGAGAGCGCAGGCAGCGCTAGTTACAATGACCTTAGGGGCTTTTCTATCCCCAGCGTGACACAGGGACCAAATTCTTTTCTCAATCTCAATGCAAATGAGAAAGAAAATTAAGCAGTAACATTGATCTGTTTTATCAGCCATGGCTGACTCGGGTCATCCTGTCATAACCGACCTCCATCTGCAGATATGCTGGAGCTTCAGAATCATCATCGATTCTCCTCACGCTGTCGTAGTGCTCTCCGTAACGATACGCGATATGCAGTTCCCTCACATTGTTTTTGTCTGTGCCCCGAATCTAAATGAAACAAATAAATTGCAAAGGAGGATTTGGAATCAACTTTAGCATCATATTTTCAAAGCATTATTTTTTTGAAGCAAAGATAAACACTGTGATTGGAAGCAAAGTAGGTAGCTACTGAAGCATCTTTAAACAGGAAGTCCTGACCTAATAATCCAGATGTGTCTGCAGTAACAGCAGAGCTGCTGTCTCAAGGATGATGTTTGAAAACCAGTACACAACGCTGGGTCGGTTACCTCATAACAAACAACACACGGTATGAAAATACTGCAGTGGAAAACTCAAAACTTTTTTCTAAACTTTCCACAGGAGCTGTTAGCTTTCCGATCATCTTCCCAGACCCGATTTCAGTGACAGCTCCCATTGAGTGTACAATGCCTTCCTTCTTCCCCTCAAACACGAGGAAAAAAGAGTCTGTTCAAGTCATGACCACAGTGGAAACAGTCATCCAGAGTAAGTTTTGTTCTGCAGCTGGGACAAGATGCTGTTTTAAGAGTCAGCTTTCGAAGTGGCTATGTTTTGTTTTCAAAAGAAAGACTAACAGGAACAAAGCCAAACCATGAAAATGTATTAACTCCATTCAGGAGCACTGTTCAGAACCAAATGTTCCTTTGCTTTGTCAGCTCCAAGCACAGCAGCTTCCGCAAAAAATTCCTGCTCTGAGTATTATCTGTACTGATGCAAGAATAATTCTTACCTCGACCATCAGTGTCTCAAACTATTAACTAAAAGCCACACAGCACTCCAACTCTTGCAAGGAATGCAGAAAATGACACTGCATTCGCAGATCTCCTTTGCTGATCTGTCCAGCCAGAGTGCAAAGATCTGACAGCTTTCATGGAGAAGGTGTCAGTAAGTGAACGACAAGAAATGCTTGCTTTAGGGCTCCAGAATTTACCAATCCTTTTATGTCTTTGAATCAGCTTATCCCAGCTTACAGGATATACACCAAGTCACCTTTCAACCACATCTGCAGTTCGTGTTGCACTAATGACTTCAGATTTCACAACAGACATTCTCCATTCATCTACTTTATGCTTGTTCACCTTTAAGTTCCAACTCAACACTTGGTTATACTTAACTCCTGCCTTCTTTCCCATTAAGTTAGTCAACATTTTGGGTATGAGTAAGATTTATTTTCAACATTTCTCCTCTGCCAGCACCAAAATAGATATCTAACAAATCCCAAAGCTCTTAAAAGATTATTCTGAAAATTAGCCAGTTTAGCTCTCAGTAGTGAAGCCTCTTTTTTGCATGGTCTTTCCACAATATACTGGAACTGTACGTAAATGATAGCTGCAGATAAGAAAAGGCAAAAACACTGAAAAAAGGTAAGCAGTTATCCAAAAGCCAATAACCCAGTCTATACATCTGAGCTAACTTGAAGCTCTACATTTACAGTCACTATCAAAAAAGATAAATGGTGTTTAAAGCCCTAAAAGTCCATGCAGAGATGCCCACCTCCAAAGAGCTTCTGATTAGGTCAGAGCTTGAGAAACAGCTGGAGGTCCTGAACACTTCTGCTCACATTTGTCCAGCTTAGCTCCAGTGTATAGAAATGGTTCTCTTAAAATTAAAGCATAAGTCAACATCTGCTTTAGAGTTGGGACCAAAGGAGATATTCACACGATCTGCTTCCAGCATCTTGCTGATCCGCCTCTCTGGAAATGTTCTCTTTGGAATCTACCCTAAAATTTTACTGGGGCTCCAAAGCAGGGAGAGGGGAAAAAAAGTATATAGATGTACAGAAAATTAAGAAAAAGGGTGTCCTGGGTTACTCGAGTCTAGCAACTTGCTAACACTGTCACCATGTTGCGCTGCCCTACGTACTTTGATGACCTTATGCATCCTCTGTGCGGTCAGAGACTCCTTATTTACAGCCATTAACAGCTCTCTACTTACGCCATTCTCAAGAGCCGAAGACAACCTGTCATTAACAAGACTGTGCTCTGGCAAAAGGGAACCTCATCGCAGACTCTGTATTTACAACCCTGGAAAGGTCAATGAATGGGGAAAAGGAGTTCAAGGTTTTTGAGAGGATATACAAAATACCTGGAAGAGTTAAGTACACTGAGGTGAGCATCAGGTGCAAAACAGTAACAAAACAGGAACAGCACCGCTGCAAACCCTCCTGCGGGGTCACTACCTCTGCACACTCTCACACGTCAAGCAGTTGAGCATTCCCACTCATTTGTGTAATTGTCAGGTACGCTTTTTCTTAAAAAAAAAAAATATGTAGGTTAGCTGTCTTACTGCCCATGGCTGCCATATGAGTAAGAGTTTATACAGTTGTTTGGGTTCAAGAATCCACCTGACACTGTTTCAAATGTATTTAAGACACCACTGACCGCTTTCACGTGGTCTTTTATCTTTATTGCCCTGTTTAATCTACATACTTCATTGGGTCTGTCTGTAAATTGGTATGAGAAAGGTTCTCACTTGCTCAGTGAACAGGCAGAGGTCAAGCGTGGACCCATTCCAGCGTGGACTTGCCATAGAGAAAGAACAACAGAGAGCAGGAGGGAATGGATGGATTACCTGTTCCAGTGCCCCACTGTCAGAGCAAACCATACACCCAGTCCCTTCCAGAAGCTTATTAAACACCGCCTTAAAGTTTTAAAACTTCTTCCCTCTTCTGCCCAGTCCAGAACCTCGCTTCTCCAGCTGTCAGAAACCTTCTCATTCCAAAACCCATGCAGAATTGACGGAGCATCATTCCAACACACTGCGGGGACTGCCCTGGTATACCTTCACTTTCGTATTCCTGAACCTTATCATACAGGTTTCCTCAAGCCTGGCTCAAATTCCTACCAGAAAAGTCACCTCGCGTGAAGTCTGACCTTCAGGAGAGAGGAACATATCAATGAAGCTAGCAGCTTAAAGCCAAACCGAAACATGCTGCTCTGTCTCCACATACTTAAACTTTCATGCATTCATTGCTCGCTTTCATTCCCTCTCCTCCTAGCCAAAACCTGGAGTGTTTTCCTTCAAGACTGAAAAAGCAAGCACAGCTCTACACCATGTCCAGTTAACTACGGCTGCCAATTGCTCTCTTTTAATAGCCAGGAAGTTTCAACACTATTTGAATTCATCAGCTAAAAATTAGGCCAAAATATAGAAGTTTTGTTTCTCACCTGCCACAGCGGAGCATTAAGCTGATGAATAACCACATTCATTTGATTGTTCCTTGCAAAGGCCACAATAGCATCGTTGCCAGCAAAGGTACCAGGCTTTGCCAAATTGGTAACTAAAGGAAAAAACATTCATAAGAGTTGGAAACCTAGTTTCTGACACTTCCAAAAGCACTGGAGGGACAGCGAGTAAGAAAATTTCAACACAAGCCCAACAAATTCTGGAAAGGAAATCCCAACTGTAAAACAGTGACTGCTGAGGCAAGAATTTGGCAGTGACAGAAGTTAATACATCTTAAACGACCGCAGGAACCTCTAAAAAACGCAGTACACCCTTAGATTATGCAAGGCCGTCAGCCCTGTGTCAGCTCGGAAAGAAGAGTGCCACGTACTACACAACCAAATGACTTTCATGCATCACCTACACGGTACTCGGCACATCCTCGAAGCTGTTAGAACACAGGCTGTATCGGTCTCTGCTTTGGATCTTCCCCTGGGTTACCACTATGAAATATGAAGTGTCAAGGAGAAAAAGAAACCCAAAGAAATCAGCCACTCAACACCCACCAGTATTCATATAGAGCTAGATAATTTTTGTGAGTTCCTTTTCAAAACACCAAATTTTCACTCCTTGCCTTTTTTTGACTGTCTTTCCTTCTCCAAGTTTCTCCTAAACTTAATCAATTCCCAAGACAAATTTAATACAAGTTTAATAGCTCATCTTCCTACAGAAGCAGAACAGAGAGAAATGTAAACACTCTGTTTCTAAAAACTAGAGAGGAGCCCTAACTTAGCTCTGGGACAAGGAACTGCTCAGTAAGAAGGTACTCAGATGAGATGCAATCACACTACACAATAAGCCCTTCCACTAGTGTCCTATGGAGACCATACCGTGTTTCTCAAAGGGCACATCATCCTCCACAAAAGGTTCAAAATCCTCCCGCTGCTTTATCATGTAATCCACCGTTTCCTGGCGATGTCGGAGATGGTTGCGTGAGTGCCCCTCAAGCTGGTCACCGAGGGCCCGAAACAAACAGTTGCTACCAAAAAAGAAACCTCAAGTTAGTGTGTCTGAAACATAGCTAATGGATACACCATTACACCAACAACTGGTGTAGCAGCAGGAAGAATACAGTGCTGGGAAAGGAGGAGAGCTGTGCTCTTTCTGCCCAGTTCAGTGAGGATATGAACGTAGATAGCACCTATTCCCTGTACTTTGAATGGTGCTGCTGTTAGCAGAACTGCTGGTAAGAATGCAGGGTTTTGAGTGAGCATGTCATCAGCTCCAACAGAGCAAGTGGAGGTCGGTGAGTGCTGGGCCAAACTGTCTTAAATTGACACTGAGACAAATGACATAATGCAACAAAGGACAACATGTTGGTCCCCTAAGAAATTTCTCAGCGGATTTCAGGCAATACTTATGGCCCTTCCTACACTCCGCTCGGCAGGTCAGCGGAGCCCTCAGCCGCCCTGGGGATCAGCCCCGGGACTAGCACAACCCTCAGCCCAGCAAGTGACAGCCCAAGGGAGCCACCAGCCCCAGGAGACACAGCACAGAACAGCCACAGAGCAGAGCCCCCCGATCCCTGTGGGGCACAGCGGGGAAGCCCTCATCCCTGTGGAGCGCTGGCCCCACTCGGCCCGGAGGGGAAAGCCCTCAGTCCCCGGGGACA